ATTGGCGATGATTCTTCGATTTTTGAACCGTTTTCAATGAGTTTTCATTCACTTGTAAATTAAAATGGGGGCCCGAGATGTGGACATAATTGGTACTTATATATTTTCCTTAGGTCGGAATGGCCGCTTGCCGAATCACGTTTTCCCATGGACTTCAATGGGAACATATTCAATGGGTTCTCCTGTTCATCATAAATTACGAGTGAGTTCCCAAAAAATTGAAAACGTGTGTTTTTAAAATCTTCAAAATACAGAAAATTACTGTTCAGAAGAAAGACACGCGGAATCTGATTTTTTGGCATCAGAAAGAGGTCAAGAAATGAATATCAAGAGCATAATTACACTCATCTGCACACATGAAAAAAAGCTCTGTTAAGAAAGTAGCAAAAATTAGTCTGTTTTTTATTATGAACAAGTGTTTTATTTTATAATGATTAAAAAAATGTAATATGAGAAGATCACTTTGTTCAAGAAATATCAAAAAAGATTTTTGTCATAAGTTTCCGAATCAGCTTAACAGCCATACAGCCCCAGGGTCAAATAAAGTAGTTAAAGATTTAAAAACTTTCAGCTTCTTTATAAAAATAACTAAGTTGTCAAACTACCTACTGGACGCATCTTTTATAAAAACGGCTGGCCCCGCGTAAACTGATTCCACCCTCTCGAGTCCTTGAGATGAACCCCATTTGGGGTTCATTGATTGAGAAACTGTCCGAGACGCAGTGATAAAACGAAACCTGGGTGATTTGTTCGGCACGCTACCCAGTGTTTCTTACCTGTACATCGATCTGATCTTGACAGTGCTTTCCGTGGAAGGGCTTCCCTGTTTCCGTCCAGTCGAGGTACAAGGGGAACGGCGTGAAGGGCGGTAACTGTGTCGGCTCTGAGGACGTCCGACGTGAGCGCGTTAGCAGACTATTTCATATATGTCTGTAATTTTTTAAAGACGATTACATTTTTATCGCAGCAAGGGCGAGAATAACTAACGGGGGAAAATGTGTTGTAAGAATTCCGGCGCTTTCTCGTCGAAGAAACCCTTTTCACGACCGGTTTCTTTATTCATGAACAGCTAACTTCATTACGGTGATTAATTCATAGCTGCATCAAGGTTTCACGGGGAGGCCCGCGATAGAGTTCAAATTCTCTTCAAATTTTCCCACGAGAATTTTAATTTATAGCAAAGTCGCATGCATTTCTTTGGATCTGTCGTTTTATGTAATAAGACTTCTCGGCGAAATGGACGTGTTGTGGTTCGGACTTAAGTGTTAAGAAACACTCGGCGAAATTAAAGCTAAAAGTAACATCTTTAAAATTTTAGAAGTGCTAATTAGGCCGTAAATTAAGGAACCGGATTGAAATACTGTAATTAAATTGTTAATTACAGTGTGAGTTACGCAGAGGAGGTTTCGTTTTTCAAAACTACTGTACTCTGCATTTTAAAATTTCTGACCAGCAGGGAGCGAACAAAATGCCGTCATATTTTTAATGAAGAGATGAATTCATTAAATAAACCCAAAGAACCGACATTCAGTTGTTCATTCATTTCCATTAGGAATGTAAATTTAATTCAATTGACCCCTTCTCATTTTTATTAATTGTGACACGTTTATCCAGAAGTTGACCTGCTGCGTGGCTCTGTTCTTTATTTTTGTAAGTTCCCTTTTAGGCAGAGTGGAGTAGATGTATTGAATTAGACGTCAACGTTATAAAAATATTTCCTGGCACATTTTTTTCACTTTTGTGTTCATTTTCGTATTTAAATGGAGAGGGAAAAAGAGTTGAAAATACACCCAATCACTGAGGGAAAACAAGGTTCACCCACACATTTGCCGTTTCCTAAAATTTTGGCTGGTTTATTTAGGGTCATCAAACCATATACTGTAATGCTTAAAATTCGTGCAATTTAGAAATATTTTCAAGAGATAATGCCCTAAATGTGGAAATCATGTTCGGAAGTGCGGATTTCTAATATTCTTGAGTGATGTGCGGGTGTGAAAAGTTTCCCGAGTCAGGGCCGCAAAATGGAAGCTAATGCTTGAAGCAAATCAACAAAGCGGCTCTGAAGATCATGTCTCGACATTTTGTGTACCCTCCCCCCTCTCCCCCAAACTCCATTATTTCAAGTTGAGACGAAAGCTTTTGAACTATCCCCAGGGTGTCAGAATGTATCAAATTCAGTGTGCGAGAAGGTCTTTGCCCCGGCTTCTCCGCTATAGAAATTTCCTTATCTAAAGAAAGGCAGGGACCAGGGATAAATGGCATTTGACGAGGGAAACCCCGCGGGCCGCGTCGAGACAGGCCAAGCGGAATGGAATCACGGGGTTGTTCTGATCGAGTTAGTCTCCGGGATGAGAGCACGGGGATTGCCCGGCATTCAGAACAGAGGAAACCCGACTCTTACCGACGTCTTGTCCTCGTTCGGCTTCCGTGCGAAAATCGAACACCCTGCCATTAATTTGCACGAGCCGCATCGTAGGGCGCTTAGGCGCAGCACAGGCGTCCTGGGGAAGGTGGTGGCTGCAGCGCAAGGGCTACGGTGGCTAGTCATGGCCCCTCGTCTTCCAATAGGCTCTCTTGTACGGGACCTTGTTGCCCCTTGTTGAGGCCAAAAGATCAATGAAATGACCCAGACAACATTCAAATACTGTACTTTAAGTCGCAGGAAGTTGGAAAATTCATTGGATTCTTTCGAGCGACACCAAAATCAACTCGTCTCTTTATCCTCAGAATCGAAATCTCGCGGGTATTGCATTCATCAAATCGCGTACCTTTGGAAAATTCCAAAAATTTCGGAGAAATATCGAGTATCCATACGGTTTCTGCGTCCTGATACTCCTGACTGAGTGAAAACTTCAGTGTTAGAAATGCGTTGTTTATGTACAGTCTAATTTCGGGCACCCTTCGATTCCCTTGTTGACTATATTGAACATTCATGGTGTTCTGACTCCATACAGCAATTTCTCGTTACAATCTTTATGAAATAACCCACAACATTTTGGCTATTCGGCAAGGACCTAAAAACGACTTCGTTGTAAACGAATATTCATTTTAATGGAATTTAAAAAAAAGATTCTACTGTTCATTCAAAAATTATTGTCCAGCGGGTCTCTTGAGAATCAAAGCCGTGTTCAAAGAAGTTCAGAAAAGTTGAAATGAACATCACTCTGCAATAAGCTGGAGGTAAAACTATCAGCGTCTGAGTGAGGTATCAAATATATACACACAGCATGATCCTCGCATAAGACAAGAAATGCATTTGAATGACCTCTCGCGTCGCGCAGGTTTTGGCATCGCAAATCCCTGAGAAAGTTGAAATTTGAGACGAGTGAGAATAAGTAGTTATCGCATCAATTTTTTTTTCTATCGTTCGAGCTGAAGAAAGAAAAAGTCGGATGAAGCAGCGATGTTTTCGGGATTTGAGTTGTAGTCAACAACAAGCAGGTCCTGGTTATCCCATCAGGAGATATATGAGGTAAATCTCGGGATGATGAGTAAATCCTCCAATTTTCATTCTGTCCATCTCGGCATGATAGAACAATATTCTGTTGCCGTTATCACTTCGAGCCACGTGCATTCCGCTGCCTGCTGGAAGCAGCACAGCAGCTTCCATAAACTCATCTCAGAAACACGCTTCCATGCGAGACGCTGGGCATATTCAGCGCTTTTGCCTTGTACGTATTGAGGTTCGTAGATGAGGGGCTTCAACATTTTCCATCTCAAATCTTCTTTGAATATTCATAATTTACACGCCAAAAAGACGCTTATACAGTTGCGCTCTGTCGGGGTTCATCTTATAATTGCGTCTTTTCTTCTTCTTCGGAAGCTTAGGGGGATAGCTCGAGTTCTGGCCGAACTTTCATTTCCCAGAGACCGTCTCATTAGGGAACATGACTTTTATGGTTAAATAAATTCCTATACCCGCAGGCCCATATACAGTGTCGTATTGAGTAACAAAAACTTTCCACTAACTTTATTACACGCGTTTTTCAGCACGTTAAATCGCTGAATTTGGGGTAAATACCCTACAAACCCAATTAATTACTGACGTATGTTGAGAAAAGAGCAATTGAAGCTTTAAAAAAATATTTATCTTACTGTGTCGTTTTTTGACGCAGAAAAATTAAAGCAATTGTCACCAGAAAGGTCTCTGTTATCTGTTTTTTAAAACATTTCTGCTGGTATTATCCATATGAATCAGAGCCGTTCCTTTTTTCAGCGATGACGCACTCACTTATGTGTGTTTTCTCGGTTGTTTCTGCGAGAAGAACAATTTTGGCCAGACTAGGATAAGCTGAAGGATAAGCTGAGGGGTATCCTCGAACTAATTAGCATTCCAAGAGCGTTCGTGAAAAATCAGCATATTAGAGATACGAGATTTTTGTATTCTTCAGACGGAAAAAGGAACGAGTTCATTTTAATCCCGCTCTTCTGCACACGCATTCGAGGAAATTAGCAAGTTTGGTGGATTCGGAAAAGGAATAAAGAAGTTCCTACGGACCCTGAACAGAGATGCATGATTCGTGGGATTACCTGAGATCGTCCTTTGGCAACTGGTCCGCCGTTTAAAACAACGGAAATGTCCCAGCGGAAGCGACGCACTTCCAGGCGGTTCCAAGCGCGTAGAACAACGCTTCCGGTGGATTTAACAACCCCGAACCCAGATCCGCAGTCCATTCTGAAAATTTACATCAAGCAGTAAAAACAAACCCGTATTATCTACAGTGTACAGTATTACAATTCCTGCTCGATTTTCTGTAAGCGGATGATCAACTCATAGAAGGGAATTAAAAAAAATAATAATAAATCGCGAGGAATGTACTGTACTGTATATTGCAGTCTTGCAAGCTCGTCAGATTGTGCTTTTCTGAGAAGGTTCCATCATAATATTGCCTGTCAGTTCTTAGTATACCTTCGCGGGCTTTAATGGCGTATGCGGATCAACAGGAAGTAGCATGTAAAATTATTCTCCATCGACTCGATCTCCGAGAAAAGATGAAAATATCGACAGAAAATAATAAAATAAGTTTAGTGAGCATTTATTTGCTTGAAACAATAAATCCTAGTAAAAAAGGATTGATGCCGAAGAATGATTTCCACGCATCCCCGCTTCAAATAAGTCCAAAATTAGATAGTTGAATCAGTGGAAGAGAATAGTGCGGATACGTGACCTCTGACCAGCTATATGCAAGGGTCGCCGAAAGGAAAATTAAAGTAAATCACCGGGGAGTTTTTGACGAGCGAGACACGAGTGCAATATTGAGTTCCGCGCGGCTTTCCCTTTCAAATAAAAATCCAGGTCGCTTCTAGGAAAAGTGTCAGTCGAGTCGAAACCATCCCACCCCCCAAGCCTAAACAAAAAACACATAACTCGACATTGGATGACGGCTGAGCTTGCAGCCGGTCTTTCTTTTTTTGCATCAACTCTTTGCATAAAAATGTATTCACCGCACAAAGTTTCCTCGCTTCTTGAACGGGATACTTTTGCAGCATCTGTTTCGTATCCCGAAACCATGTTTCGAAGTTTCCGCATGGAAGTGTAATATTCTTGCGAGAGGCGTGTATTTCTAAAGCTTATTCAACTTTTACCGCGAATATTTCGGACCAAAGTTTCAACTTTGCTGAAGCATGAGGCGGTTATTGGAAGTTGGTCCCCGGGTTTATATATATATATTTTTTTTTCTGATCTCTCTCTCTGTCTCTCTTTTGATAAAAACCGTTAGCATACCTGATTTCCACGACGCCCCCCACAAGAGAAATGGAGAAAAAGTCCCCGGCGAAGTCTTCCTTCTCCCCTGACAGGAAAAGCACTGCGTCGGGTTCGTGAGGCAGAAATTCGAGAACGATGTTCAACGTTTCGTATGCTTCCCGCAGCACTGGGAACTGCAACCAGGATTTCCCGGAAAACTTCGGCTCAGATATAGTCACGCCTGCAAAGTATGCCTCGACCATGAGAATGTGTGAATCTCTCAGTTGAAAAAAAGAAGAGCGGTGAGAAGATCAGTGATTCTTTAAATTTTCCAAAAAATGAAAATACTGAAACGAGGACACCGTCAGTTTATTCCACGCATTTTACAGATTTATGTGCAATATTGTCTGGAGTTGAGCAATCTTGAGGCAATAATGAGGTACGTGACTCGACGTTATCTGCAAAGTTTCACATCATGTTAGTGAAATGGGCATCCAAGCATGAAGTTGAGCATTCACTCAAATGTTTTACATTTCGACGAAAAGTAAATTAGCGTTCGCCGCAGAATTGGTTATGTTCCAGATTATATTGGAAAAGTAAACTCATCGTCGGGTATAAAAAACAGATATAGATCCCACTTTGATGATTCTCGAACTCGTTGAATATCATCGATTCTTCCTCTCAACGAGGACATAAAATTACCTCGTCAAAAACACAGAAGTCTAAAGAGTTAACGTACGAAGGGTCGCGCAAAGTGTTCTCCAAATAATTCTTTCAATTGATATTCTCGTAAAAATAGAACTTCTCACGTCCAGCGCACTTTAAAAAAATTACAGTGAGTCAGAGTGTGTGTAAGTTCAGAAGTGAAGCATCTTTTGGTTTACGTCGTTCAACTATATAGAGATCCAGGTACTGCTGGATTCATACTATTGAATAGTCGTGCATTTGCAGGTTCCATGGCACACCACTTATTTTTGCGCAAATATTTCATCTTATTTTTTTTACACTAAAGATCGAGGTTTCTGTTCTCTACTGATTTCCTCGAAATCAGACGAAGACATGAGCAAAATTGCAGCACGAATCGCTGAGGTGGGCTATACGAGCAGTTACGTGCCTTGGAGCTAATCCCAAGGAATAAGCTTTTCGGGAAAATACGAGGATATTGTATGGGCGAGGAATTCGGAAGGAAAAGCTCACTTTGCTCGCAACGATGACCGATGTAGCCCAGGTCGCAGACGCATCGCTCGAGATCCGCGTCGGGATCCCGGACGCATTTCCCGGACCCGGAGCAGTCGGGATCCCCGGTGCAGTAATTACCTTCAAGAGGGTTCCGAGTCGAGAGCCTGGATGGATCCCGGTCACGCACCACGAGCCGCTCCACGAGCCCGGCCCGAGAAACTGATAATCCATACAAGTCGTGGATTACGAATCCGTGCGTGTCCAGCAGGGAACCGCCTGCTGTTACATAAAAAAAAAAACCCTCGTGAGCGGGACGCAAACAAGGGGATTCTCCCAGCAGAGGTGCACGCATTTATAAAGGTGTCGGACACGCGAGGTCCAGCTGCCCTACGCCCAGTTTCACGACGGCAGACACGGTTCACACATCCCAACCACCACCCCTTTTCCACTGGAAATTCCGCAATTTATGAACCACCTATAGCTCGCCACACAGCCGAGTTCACCTCATTTATTTTTCTGCTAAAATCCGTGTCAGCACGATAGACGAGGGACGAGAATAATAAACAGAAAAAGCATGGACAAAGTGGGGGACATCGCAGTGGCTTTTCATTATTATTCCGTGTAAATGAAAAAAGATAAAATAAATACTGCAACTTCAGTCCTCTTGATGCTAAACTTGAGGCATCCTACGAACGTCGAAAGCAGCTACCATCGATTGCAGAAAGCAAGACTTATGCAAAGCGAGAATGAAATGTCCAACGGAATTCGCATGCATTACTTCGTTAAAACTTAGCGCTGAGAATGCAACTTGTTTACCTTCCACACAACTTTTCCCACAATTAATTGATAGCAGGAATATAACTTCGAATGCCCTTGGGATCGGCGATTCCTATTGCAAGAACAAGAGCGCGGCTAGATACTCTTCTTCAAATTTATTCTTATTGTATCTTCTACTAAAGAAAATCGACTCGTGCCTTTTTTTGGACACAAATGAAGTTACTTGCGGTTTTTCCACGCAGCATAATAAAAATTTTGGGTACTCTCCCAATCTCAGTACCCATTTTTCTTTGTCTCGTGAATTCAGTATTCGTGCGATGAAAAATTAGTTAATCACGTTAGTTGAAGAGAAAAGGAACTACATCACTGCCATCCAGACAAATAACCTAACTTCACCTAACCACCACCTCCCAAAATCAGTTTCTGCTTTCTTTGGGTTTCTGCTGAAACTTATTTTGGGAGGTGGTTAGGTAAAGTTAGGTTAGGTCTGGTTATATTAATTGAAAGATATTTGTAACTAACATAACCTGACCTAACCTAACTTCACCTATAACCGCATCCCAAAATCAGTTTCTGCTTTCTTTGGGTTTCTGCTGAAAGAAATATCTTTCAATTAACATAACTTGACCTAACCTAACTTTACCTAACCGCCTCCAAAAAAAATTTTTCAGCAGAATGCAAAAAAATGAAATTCACAGTTTCTGGTAGGTGCATGGAAAGTAGGTACTGAGATAAAAGGAAAGTACCAAATTGGGTATCATAACCACTTAAAGTTTTGATGAGTGGCAGCTTTCTCCGTATTCCTTTTAAGTGATGAGCATACAGTACATCTCCAAAACACGCATACGTTTTACCCCAATTATAATATATTATTCCCAAATTTTAATGTGATTGGTGTGTCTATTTTTAGAGACGATAATGAGATCAGGGAAAGAAGCAAGACACGCCGGATTACAAAAAGAATTCTCAACTTTCCAGATGCAAATAATTTATTTTCTATTACACCGAAAATTGGTTACCTCGCTGAAGGGATGGATTCCGGTCACTGCGGCGCATCTTTTGTCCCACTGGTCCTTCCGTTTGTCGGGTAACGTTGACACCTGATGGACAGAAAAGTCCATTTAACTGATAAGCGGGAGTTACATTCCAACTCAGAGCGACCTGATTTTATCTGATTCCATTCAAACCAGAGAAAACCCCAAAGTCGACGGCGATTCACTTCGCAAAACTTAAAGGGTGCCCAGTTTTGGCGTTGATTCATCAACAAAATATCAAATAATTGGGTTCGTTTTAAAAACTTTTATACCGTACTTGAGAATCAGTGTACAAGACGAGGTCCAATCTTCGATATATAGACACTGAGTAAAGCATCCCAATTCTCCGGGCATTTGGATTTAAAAAACGAGAGAAATTCTTCAACTCGAATTTCACGCATGAGTAAAGTGCGTGGAAAGGAAATGTGTGCAAGGATGACTGACTCCATCAAGGAAGTCTTGGTATCAGCAAAAGCGGATGAAGAATTTGTTTTTAAAAGCGGAGGAATGCACCAAAACGATCCTTCCGCATCACGAACAGATCAAATAGGAAGATCCTGAAGGCCTCCAGTTTTCTCGAGATATTGCTCATATCAGAACATTACTTTGAAGGTTGACACAGCGTTAAGCAAGCGGTGAAGTCCGGAAGATTGGCTCGCCATTGTTAATGACTTTCGTCTACGGTAGTACCGTAAGTTCAAACACTCATCCCCTCCTCCTCGTAACACTGGACTAAATAAATACGGGAAGAAGACCTTCCTGACTCAAGATGCAAGAAATATGAGGAACTCACGATGACAGGAGTACCCGTTCGTGTGCAGGGCATAGCCAAGATGGCAATCGCACTCGAAAGTGCCGTCGTGGAGGTTCGCACATTTCTGCTCGCAGATGCTAGCCGTTGCGCATTCACCTGCAAGGGGGGGAAATGATTAACATTGATGCCTGACTGTACCCAGACAAGACCCGTGAAATTGCTCGAGGTGAGTCATCATGAAAGCCTTGTCTTTTTCAAAAGAGAGACATGTTTAGTCTTCCGAATGCCTCGCGTTTAATACTTTTACAAACTAATCTGCATATAGGTAGCTTACATCAAAGGGCGAGAGCTGGGATAATTCAGAGGGAGCAATTTTCTAAAGTAAATCAGATTTCTCTGTGGGAATTATATAAATAAGAAAGCATTTGGTAAATCCGGCGCAGGCTTTTTTTAAACGTGGCACATGCAAATAGATTTTTGGGTTTACTACCCATAATGCAAGGTTCTTCGATTCCTTTCCCCAGAGCTTCCTTCAAAGCTTCCGGGAAGCACATGCTGACCCATGGAGCCTGAGAGAAAAAGTATTGCAAATACATCCTAGATGCATCAAAGTTTTTAAGAAAGCAAAATAAAATAAATGTACCTTGAGGTCGAAAGAAGAAACAATGAACAACAATAGACAATACAACATTCGTAAAGGAGAAAACAGCTTCAAAATTTGATTGTCTTTAATCTGAAATCTCAGAGCCTCAATCGAATTGTAAACGAGCTATCTCAAATACCACTCGAATTTCACTGTGTCTATTTTTAGGATTTTTTTTTCTGACGATTTTCCCGCACAAGCATCAACAAAAGGGGTACCAAATAACACCCCCATCAGGAATACTTCCATTAAAACTTAAAAGCACTATTCTACAAATTTTGAAGTCACTTTTGCTTGATATCGCCGGGAAAACTTCCAGCACCGATGACGAAGGCACAGCAATATGCCAGGGGGCGTTTCCCGCCGCTATTAAAAAAAAAAAAGAAGTAAGCATACATATTGTCGAAGATTCGGATGGGAATATAGACGGAGTGCACCCGTCGAATATCACAAGGGTAATTTGATTCAGAATCCGGGCTCCTGCAGTACTGGAAGCGCGTCAGCACTTGCCACTCACTAACCTTGAAAGGCGGCCTCGAAGTCAGGTCTGGCAGGAGCAGGTTCTTTGCCATTCTCCGTGACGGGTTCCCCGAAAGTGGGAAGGAACGCGAACACAACCAGTTCCCACAACATGAGCACCGATTGCATGGTGGCACTTGGCAAGGAGAAAGTACTTTTTAAAAATCTCGCGAATGGCAAACACGAGGGTCCTTTCGACACTGATGGGGAATCCCCAGCACTTATCCCAATGACAACTCAAATAACTCACACGGATTGGCTCACATTTACACTGGGCCACATTCAGTACATTTACTGCCAGTACTGTACTGGATTTCCCATGTAACGTTTCCAATTGATCGAGCTAAAATGAAACAAAAAAAGATGTTCCGAACGTACAGTATATACATGGACATTCGACGAAGAAGCGAGGAAAGAAGCCAGCACGTGACACTTGATGCTTCAAAAGCCAGGTTATGACGTAGGCGCCGAATTTAATGCTTCATTAGATTTAATAGCCCTGTTAATTTGATGAAACGAATGAATCTAAACTCCTGCCCCCGTCTGCGAATCTCTGTTTACGGAATGTTAGCTCGCTCAACACAGCGAAACATTTTGAGTTCATCGTGGCCCTCACTCGGTATAACGGGTTTTAGTGGTCGAACGGTTTCTGCTGATGCGAGCCTGTGTAGGAAGGTGTCCTCATCAAACAAGCAAGCAAAGGAAGAAGGGAATTCGACACCTGTGACGAATGACGGAGTTTGTCTCAGCGGAAAGTGGGCCCAAACAACAAAACAACCCACCCACTCACTCACTCACTCAATTTCGGTCTGAAGAGACTCGCATGCCTGTTGTGAGGCGTGAGGCAAACTGGCCCGGAGTCGACGTCGCGTCCCGTCAGGCCCGCGCCCCAAGAGGGAACGCCGGCCCAAGGAGGGACTCGTCTCCCGCTAGGTGGGGGCTGCTGTCTCCCGCGACCCAGGCAGGCGTGTCCCTGACGTTTGACACGCAGGCTGCCGTGTTTACCGCTGTTGGCTTCCGGGAATCCGCCTCCTACCTCGTGTCGCGGAACAACACCCCGTTGTCTTGCCGGGCTGCCCGACGACGGGCCACCCGCGAGTGAGGCGGCCTGCCGCGATCGATTCTCGCTCGCAACGACTGCTCGCCGTTGATGGTGCATGAGCGGGACGATGTGTGGCCACAAGCAAGCGGGCGGCCCGTTTTCGGATAGACTCGATGCTCAAATGAGACTCGTCCAGGGAGCAGGTCGCAGGAAACGGGGAGCAAGCTGCCTGCGAGGAGGCCGCCTGCAACCGAGCTGCCTGCTTCTCCCTCCCTCTCTGCTTCGGGATTGCTGCGAGAGAGGGCGTCAGTTTCCATCATCATCATCATCACCACGCAGGGACAAGCCCGGGAGTCGCTTCCATTATCATACACTGGCCACCCCTATAGCTGTATTCTGCAAACTGGCCCCTTAGCTGTGTGCAGCAGGTGTACTTGGCAGAATCATCAATGGGATCATCCAAAAGATCAGCAATTTCTTGAAAAGCGAACAAATATCATAGCTATTTATACAATGCCTCCAAAGGAAACCTGGCATGCATTGCTATATTACAGTACTGTACTGTATTTTCCTAGTATACTCTCGACATTTGACAATACAGTCAACCCCGTCTAATGGACTTGACTTGTGCAAGGGATGCGTCTGTTAGACAAAGAGTCCTTTACACAAATTCAATTACATAAAAAATTAAAAATTTCAATTTTCAACACTAATTTTAAACCGGAAGAAGTCTGTTTGGCGGATTTTGTCNTTACATAAAAAATTAAAAATTTCAATTTTCAACACTAATTTTAAACCAAAATAAGTCTGTTTGGCGGATTTTGTCTGTTGGGTGGGAGGAAAAACTGCTTGCAGAGCTGGTCTGTTCGGCAAAAATCCCTTACACGGGAGGTCTGTTAGGCGGGGGACCACTGTATTCTCTCAAAAACTGCAAATAAAAAACTGCGCGGCTTTTTCGGGTACTGCGTAAACAGTTCCTGTTTCTATTTCCTGCCGTGATGAACCCCTTAATGAAGCCATTAAAATTCGTGAGATATGTTAGAGGTCTCGCATGGAACCCTTGTTTCACGTGGTACGATTCTTCAAAGGTAAAAAATAAGCTGACAAAAATTAAAACAATTTTGTTTGTACTGCTGATGTGAATTTTATTGGTGAAACGGGGTAAATTCTTTGCGTTTTACGACATTATTGAAGTTCGCCCCTTTTTCAGGCATAATTTGGGGCTATGCAGACAGACGAACGCAATGTTGGTAATTTTCAGCTAATAATGTAATTTTTTTCATTTATTTAAGTACGCATCTGGTCTGAACCATGATCCACGACATCGTGTAACTTCATCATCAGCCTCCAGATTTTATAATGACGTTATGTACCGAATAGCAACAAGTTTATGCATGGTACCTTGCACCACTTCAAACAACATCACGCCATGGCTTCGATCCGCTTCTCCTAGAAAGCTATAGATTTAGAAAGAATTTATAGATGTCGCTGCTGTGTAGATGTTTCAATAAGAGGTTCGGTTCGGCGTTCTTGTACTATACTCAACTTAACGCTTTTTCTCTCATGTCAGCTCTGCGACACGGCTTCAACTATTTTTCCGAATGTGATTCAAAACAAGGAAGCATTCACGTAAAGAAGAAGAGGACAATATAGATTTTATAAACGTTATACTATTCTTCTCTAGGATTGCTGGTGACATTTGAGATCTCGTATAATTGTTCAGATTATGCGTTTAGTTCAAAAACTTCGAATGAGTTAGCTTTGTTCGTGGTTCATTTTTGCGGGAATATCGGCGTCATTTCTTCATTCATCCCTCTGCTTCCCTGATGTGGATCGGTGCCAAATGGGCTTGAATGAATAATGATTTGAGATGAGGGATTTATTTGCTTCTTCCATACTAGCCCATCGGGGGCATGTTTTTGCCGTCGACTCGGAGGAAACCGCCCGTTCAAGACTCGAGAGCGAAACCCGGTTAAAGTCGGGGCTTTCCTGGTGGGTCTCTCGAGACGGCCATTCCAACGTCCAAGAAGAAACGTAATGCCTGCCCCTGCCACACGTATCTCACGGCTAGGGAGATGACCCGTGAGACATCAATTCGGGTCGTTGGGACATAATTTTGACGGAGTCCCCAGCAGGGGTCTCGTGTGGCGTCGCGTGTGTGTGACGGTCCTCGACGGGGGGAGGGGGTAAGGCACTTGAGTCACTGATTGCAGTCAGCGGGGCCCAGGGCACAGGAAAATTCCGACAGCACCGGGTTCATCGTCGGGTCCCGGTCTCTGGATCGACGACGACGGTCCACCAAGTGCAGCCCCGCCTCACACTGCCTGTCTCGACTCCTTTTCCTCTCGCGACGTCGCGGAAATTCTCGGTCTCTGTATCTCTGAAACCACGGGTTGCATGCGTATTTTTCCTCTCTCTCGTTTTATTTAATTTTATTTATTGTGCATATTCCGAGAATGAGGATGTCCGGAGAGAAAATTGAGCGTGGCGCCGACAGAAAGCCCTTTTATTTTTTTTCCGGGCCTCAAATTTACATCGCACCTGCGATGCAGAGCAAAAGAAGAAGATCGTGGATGGTCGACCGGGATGGCCAGTGTTCGAAAACCCTTTTTGGCAAACAATTCCTGCGCCTCCCGGGACCCGTCACAGCGGGGCATCCATGCGGAAGCTGCGACGTTCACTCATCTTCCTGACACCTCGTTCCGGGAACGGTATCGCAGAAGTTCCGGCAGCGAGTTTTCTGACCGGTCGGGAGAATTTTGCAAACTTTCTGCAGCTCGAAGGGCGTGAGAAGCAAGTACGGTGCATGAAGTATTTTGGGATCTGTTCATTCTTTGGTGACTTTTCGACTCTCGAGATTGATTAATGTTCAGGGAGTAAATTACGGTTTTCAGTCTAATATTCAGCATCGTGAATCATGGAAACCACGCTTTGATTTGAAAAGAAAAGCACCGTCGGAATAATCGGAAGGTACCTTTGCATGAATTGTACGTGCCAAAAACGTTTAGTACAGGCATCTCTCATCCACGTTATCTTTGAAGACACAACACTTGGCACTGATGAACCCATTTCACTTTTCTTTCTAATGGAATGAAGCATCCAAGCGAGATTATATCCGCCACTTTAAGTTTTTCAAAAGATAGATAAACAAATAGCGTGTGCTTAAATGCTTCCGCGCATTTCAACTTTTCATCGTCACCTTTATAGCATCAAGTTTATGTCATGTTTATGTCAACCATTACCCTCTGGTGGAAAGATTTACCGATTATATGATGAGGCATTCCTCAATTGAATGCGTACTCATTTTCATCCACCCTGAGACCTGAAATATTTTATTGCATTGGGAAAAGCCACTGATTCTAGGAGAAAATGTTCATATTTTTTGCGTCAGAATCTGGAAAAATTCTGTCGAACAATGTTTTTCATAATTTATTTTGATAATGATGCTGCTGATGTTTTACGGGATTTGTTTCTTGGACTCTGGAAAATAAATATTTTAATGCAGTGCTAAATAAATTTGTAATAATAAAAAGGCCATCGCATCCGATTCGCACTTCTGGCTTATTAATCCTGATCATCCAACGAACCGAATCGTTCATTTTTGCCAATGGAGATTCTTGCACTAGATGGAGAAAAGTCAGACGATGGGTCGAAAAATTGACGGGCGTTCAGAATGCGGTGATTTTTTCATAATAAAACGTTTGATACGATCACCGAAAGCAAACGAAACGGTTGTGATGCGGACAATTCGACCGAGGAAGAAGACAAGCGTTCAGTCAACGACATGATCCAAAGAAAATCGTATCACGGATCTGCGTTCTGTAATACCATTGTACACAGAATTCCGAATACCCTTCGACAGCTGAAACCGCGAGAAAGGCATCACGGGTATACAGGGATAGAAGTTTCTTCTTATTTCATGTCTATGCAGGAGCCATACATCATGTCTTATGCAAAGCAACCCGTCACTTTCCCGCCTGCAATTTACAAGCGTGCACAAGTTCGCATCGTTTTTCCACCACCGATTTTGTGCAACGCCGAAAAAAAAGGGGGTTCGTCAGCTTGCGTGGAATTTTTCCACAGCAGTTTTAATGGTT